CCACCCCACCCCCCCCCGCCTCCTGCACCTCCGCAACGAGACCCGTCTGATCCCACTATCAGCGCTAAAAAGCTTCCAAAGAAACGAAAATTCGATCCATCGGAGCTTGAAGAGATGGACAAGACCAGCAATGTCACCAGCAACATCAACAATATGGTTCATATACGCGCGCCTGCTATGCCGCTTAGCGGCCAGCCAGTTTTAGGACAACAATCCGGCGTACCAACTACCATCAGCCGAAAGTCGCCACAACAACAGGAGTCTGATTGTTATCAAGTATGTTGACGATACTAACCGAAATTTTAGTATTAGCGTAATAGTAATGTTAGCAGTAATTTTAGCTGATATTTGAACGCTATATTATGAAAAAGTTATAAATATTATAGAAAATAAATATATAGCAATACGTACTATACATATATTTGTATATGTAACAATTTAAGCAAAATATCAGGTTTTTTACAAAATAAAATGTTAATATATATGTACAGTTTTCTGCCTACCAGTCTTTATTATATGCAAAATTAAGAATACTGATACTTCTTATAGGGAGAAATATCATTCTACGTCATTTAAAATAATTTTTGTATTTTCATAAGAAACATTTCTGTGTCAAAAATATTAAATAAAATATATTTATTGTATTTAATACATATAATTTATATACAAATAATTTATTTTAAATTATCTTTTATTCGAAAGTATGCGTTGTACATGAATTTTTTCCTTATGTTCAAGGTACCCTCAACTCATTCGGTAGTAGTGTTACCTCCTCAAAGCACAGCGGTGGATTACTCTCTTCGCGAGGAACCTTCACGTTCTCGTCCTCGGCTTGCTATTGATCTCAGTGAGTGGCGCGATCATAGAGTGTTAGCTTTAAGGGATTCATATTATTTCCCGGGTGTTATACGTAACGTTGTTCACGGTGAGATATTAATTGAGTTTGACGGCGAGAGGAAGTTAATGCGTTATAGTGACGTTCTGGGTGCAAGACGGTACGATGTGATAGGAGATGCAAGCCCGTCTCTGGGACAGGTGACTACGGATATGAAGGTTTGCATTAGATGTCCGATCTCGAGCAGTCATGTGGACGCGACAAAAGTGTTTGTAAAAGGGACAGTGAGTAGAGTATTAACGAAACCTTCTCGTTTTGTTGTGAAAATACCGCGGGAGGACGATCAGTGTGAGAGTTATATTGTGAAACGTGCGGACTTGCGGCTAGTACAACCTCCATGGGCGGACGAATTAGAGGAAGGATTGGAAGAATGTGACCCTACAAGAGAGAACATTGGTAACAAATCATTTATATAATCAATAAGACCAGTCATTTTTCGAAAAGATAATTATAGCGTGGTAACGTTTGCTTTTTTTTAAATTTATCAGAACATGGATATCGCAATATCACGGAAGCTCCGACAGCAGTGCCAATTTTGCATACTTCTCATCATACATCGCATATATCAAGTCACAATGATACGAGTTATTATAGAACGACGGGTACCAGTCCTCTTATGACTTTAGGCACTCCTGCGCATTCTGCCACGGCGTTAAGTAATGGTAGTCGGCCGTACGATGATTTAGAAAGCGAGGATGATTTAGACAGAGAAGATATTACATTTCCCTCGGACGCAGGTTAGATAGAATATGAAATTTTCACTGTATCACGTACGACATTGTTTAAAAAATATATTGCTACTGATTACATGCGTGCGCGCAAACATGAAAAACTTAAAATTTATTTGTATTTTAACAATAGATTATTTAAATATTTTTTGATATTTTTCTGAAAATGTATTCCTTTCTATATCTGTAAGAAAAGCTGAGGCTTTTAATGAGAGCAATTTAGTCAAAACAATAGTATAGTAATTCAAGTATATTCAACTGACAGATGCAAAATTGTCAGGGAGCAGCAAAAGAAGCAGCATGCAGAGCCGAGGAAGTACCAGTAGCCTAGTTGAACAACGTAGTATAACGCCTCGCTCTCAGGCAGCCACACCTCGGTATTAATTTGATCAAATATAGTAGTTTTTCATAAGATAAATTGATTAATACATGTAATAATAGTAAAACTCTTAACTAATAATTGTACATGAATCTACTTTTTTTGTTAAATAGATCTCAGGCGGCAACGCCACATAGGTATAAAAAGGGCGACATAGTGGTTACACCAAGTGGAATAAGAAAAAAGTATAATGGGAAACAATGGCGTCGACTTTGTAGTAAAAAGGACTGTAATAAGGAAAGCCAGCGAAGAGGATACTGTTCTCGTCATCTTAGCCTTAAAGGGTCTGGTCTTAGAGGTCCAGCAAACACATTTCCTGGGTATGAACATCCATTTGCACTTGTATCGATGATTGCTTCTTCTCGTTTTTATTATTTGGATTTCTGTTCTTTAAGGGACACAACATTACGATTTATTTACCCAGTTGCCTTGGGATTTGTTTTGGTTTTTGGTTTTACTTCCTGTCACAATTACGGTATTAATATTTTTTCACTCGAAATTCTTTGTTATATGTGAAGAAGCAGGGAATGAAAACCAGCTTTTTTGTTTAACAAGTGATTGTTTTACTAAATTATCTGATGTGTTAACGATGTTGTAAATTTTTTAATTTTCTTTTCGTTTACAGTGGTAAAATGGATGGCGAAGAAACATCAAGAGATTCCGATACTTCGCCAAATTATGTTGACAGAAGAATAACGGATAGATTTGATGAAACTGAAGCTGCTAATATGCTTGGTATATCTTTTATATTTCCAATAAAAAAATAACAAGAATTTTTCTTTTACATTTCAAAAAAGATTATAGAGTTTTATTGAAGTATTATTACAGACCATTTCGAATAAAAGAATTGATCATGTATGTTACATTTAACTATCGATAATCTGTTTACTCTGAATTATATTTTGATATTCGATATTCTAATAATGTAAAATGTTTTTATATGGTGGTAACTTTCTATGGATTAAATGTGTTGTATTATTACAGTGTCTTTGGGGAGCTCTAGATCGGCTACGCCAGCCTTTTCGTCACCGACGGGTCAGTCTTCTATATCTCCATGTATAAATCAGTCACCAGTGCCGCCGTTGGGGCTCAATCAGAATAATGTATTTATGCCTATTTCGAGTCCCGCTCATCATGCGACTCCGCTGATCTCACCTGGCGCAAAATGGAAGCATTCACCTACACAATCGAACTTTTTGGTTCAGTATCCGCAACAAGTAATAAAGCCTGAGCCGAATCGAGTAGATAGAAATCGACCGATTCCGATAACTGGTGCTATCCCCACCAGTTTAGGGACAAGTGTAATAAGAATCTCCCCAGTGAGTCGCAGTATGCAACCCGGACAGAATCCGACTCTGTCGTGGTCGGAACAAAGTCCACCACCGACGAGACATCCCTCAGTCGTTACATCGATCGCGCAGCAACAGCAAAACATAATCTTGCAACACGCGCTAACGTCCACCAATGATTTTCCCAATCAGACCGAGATGTCCGAACAGAGTTCGCAGTTAATAAAACCACCGCTCTCACCTCACATGCCTCTGCCCGCTATCCCGGTGCCACAGAACTTGACACTTGTACACAAATCGCTGGAACAACCAGTCGACTATGCGCAATCGCCACAGTCCCAAGGCCAACCGATCTACGTGATGCAGCATGAAAAAAAGTATCTCGTGATAAAGAACAGCATGGACATGTCGGCGCCAACGGGTGCGCATATAAGCAATCAAGATGACAAATATCGACAGAATTTAATCAACCATCCGGGCCAATTACCGGTCTCCACTTTGCATCAAGTTCAGTGTCAACAACCACCTCAATCACCCGCAGTTTCATCCGTCCATATTGATAAACTGTCTGTTTTGCAGCAACCTGTAAGTTGACACGGTACATATAATGAATTAATGTAAAGTAGAAAAAAATACATTTATAGTTAAGCAATAAAATAGCACTAAATTTTTTACACTATGTCCCAATTCGATTTGCAATGGTGGAGGCTCCAGATTAATAGAAGTTAGTTGGGTATATTAAAGAAAAACAAGAACGTAGTACAAGGCTCATATATGTCGCATAAGTGTACATAAATTAATTTTACTGCAATTAGGTGAATAAAGTGAACACACATACAACCGTGCATATGGACATGCAAAGAAGTCAGCCGCCGCCTACAAGTGCTGTAATGACATCCACAGAAGCATCTAATCTGTCTACTCCGACAAGCGTCTTCCAACACGTAATTGTTCAGCCAGGACATTTGGTGCAAATTCCAAAAACTCAATCTTCTAGAGAAGAGAATGCAAAAAACAACGGAATTCTCTGTAAGTTTCATATTATAATATAAATGCATTATTCGAATGTAAACAGCCCTTATATTTTGTATCTCCAATATTATAAAAATTTTTCTTCGTGTTCAATAATTAATTTTTTGTAAAGTGTTTTAAGCGTTTAAAAGTTCAAACATTACGTTATTTCGTCTTATTTTTTTTTATCTCGTTTTGCTATCCCGTAATCGTTTGTGATGACAATCTTAATGTCATAATATGTCGAATCGGTGATACAAGAAAATTTGACTAAACGGTAAGGCTTTCACAGATGGCAGCCATGAAGTTCCTCCTGCATACCAGCCTCATCCCCCATCATTACTGAACAATGTGCACAACTGGAAAAAAGGTTTGAGTTCTGACTGCCAACTGAAATGTATCAAGCCTATGGAATTGCTGTAGGTTGCAGTTTGTCAATGGTACATAACAGAACATTTGTTTGTTATGTTCAAATTATAAGCACAGATGCTTAATTATGTTTTAAAATATTTACATGACCATATGTTTACGTATGTTTACGTAGTTGGCAACTTTCCCTTTCTTTTTTTTTATTTTTTAGGCCTTTATGCATTTATTTTGTGTGTTCTAATGT